GGGGGGGGTCCTCATTACGATATAGTTATAGTATAATGGGCCCCAAAACCCTATTATAGTAAGCCCCAAAAAGTTGGATACCGGACTAAGGACAAATAGCGCAGGGATTCCCTATACATTACTCTCAAGGATTGAGGCTATTGGGTTTCCAACTTTTGGGCTTCTACTGTAAAGCCTAATTAAACCCTAAAGCGGGTGCAGGGTGTGGGGGGGCATGTTCGGGGGCGTAGGATAGAGGAGTTTGAGGCTGACGGGGGTTTCAGCAGTGTTTGAGGCTGAGGGGTTTTAGGTGTCTATAATGGCTTCTAGGGATAAGGATTCTAGACTTGAGGCTTATCCTAAACCCTAAACCCTAACTATAATACTATAATACTATAATAATAAAATGATATTAAAATGTATATATATATATATACAATTATAATGCTCTTAATGATATATAACTAAGCCTGACTTCGGAGTCGGAGTTCGGTTTGAGGATCGCGGGTTACAGGTGTTGGGCTTGCGGCTCGGGAACGGGAAACAGAGACCTTCAGCACCAAAGTCGCAGCACCCCAGGAACCCTAAACCCTAAACCCTAAAGTACTGCCTTTCGGCTGTGCATACTGTAGGGGCCTTAATAATTAGAATGGGGTTTTGATTATGGGGGGTTCCTTATTATATAAGTATAGTATAGTATACCCCGAACCCTATTCTAATTATTCAGGCCCCTATATTACTTGGTCAACCAACCACAGCAGCAAGGACGTCCACAACCACACCGGTCAGTGAAATAAGGCAGTGCACTAGCTTGCTGAGGCAATCCTTTGTAGCCCTCATCACTGTGCTCTCATGATCAGACACATTCCTACACCCCGAAAAACCTAATTGGCTGCTGCGTCCCTACACCCGGCATCCTATCAATCCCGCAAGCCTATACCCGACAAAGCCTGAACCGTAAATGCCAATTTCCGCTGTTCTAGGTGCCTCCAAGGGAAGCCAAAAATGGGAGTGTGGCAACTTAAGCACTACCTTGGGACCCTTAGGATTGCGGGCTTGCGGGATCACTGATGTTTGCCGGCTCTTCTTGGAGGCCTTTCAAAGATTAGAGCTTTAGCACCTGAAAGTTTCAGAATATTCCATACTAAGCCTATACTCTATACAGTGCCGACTATAGCGGGACCTAAACCCAAGGGTTTAGGCTCTACCGGCTCGAGGTCGACAAGTAGTGAATATACACAGAAAGTAACCTTACGATTGTTACTATTACTACAAATGGTCACAGCTGTGCATATATAATCATACTTCTTGTTCCTGTCAATGATGTTATCATGAAGCTATTACTACAGCCATAATCAAAATAACTAGTAACTGTGAGCTCTAGTAGTAACCATTCCTCCTAATAACAGCATTATGATTTGTACTGTCATTACCACCACAATTACTTGCTGTTATCGCCATTCTTAGGGCTATTATACACAGCAAGCCGTTATAGCCGAGGATATGGCTCTGTCATTCGTCGCGTCCGCCCCATCCTCCAGTTTTCGGGTTTAGGGTTTAGGGGTTCAAGGTTTAGGGCTTTCACGGTTTTGGGCCTGGCGTGTTGTTATCAAGGAACTGTTTGGGTGGTGGAAAGGTGTTATGTAAAAACCCTAAACCCTAAACCCCTAAACCCCTAAACCCCTAAACCCCTAACCCCTAAACCCCTAAACCCCTAACCCCTAAACCCTAAACCCCGTTATGTACAATGACCAGATGGTAAGGGTTTTGCATGTTTTATCCTATTCCAAAACCTGGTGTTTAGGCTTCTTCATGTGGGTTTTGGGAGGGATTGTGTGGTTTAGAGTTTAGGGTGAAAGGGTTAGGGGTTTAGGGGTTTAGGGGTTTAGGGGTTTAGGGGTTTAGGGGTTTAGGGTTTAGGGCAGGGCTTTATGAATGGGGTTTTGTTAAAAAATCAGGGGCTGTCACTCAGGGGTCTGTATGAGGATGCTGCAAGGCGGGTCAAGCATCACCAATTTGGTTGTTGCATTGGGCTTCGGAATGTCCATCTCAGCTTCTTGGGCGGATTTAGATTAGAATTGTGCGGGCTTCCCTAAACCCTGAACCGATACACCGCAACGCACAGCATTCTTATGACATCCTGGCGGCCTCGGAAGTGGGATAGGGGGTGCATCGAAAATGCTAAACCCTAAAGACATTCAAGATCATGGCTTGGCACCTTGGTAAGATTGGGGATTTGGAGGTTTACGAGGGCCTTTAAGGTCTAGGGTTTTGGTGTGTAAGTTTGAGATCTATGGGCTCTGTCGGAGCTACAGTACAACGAAGACGTGTGGTTCAGGGACACGGCTCACGTTTCGTTTTGTTGCGGCTTTCAGGCTTGACATGGAGGCAGGTTTGGGAGATCGGCCTCAGCTTCAGATAGGGTTCAGGTTTAGGGTTTAGGGGCTGTAATTTAGGGTTCTGCGGTTTAGAGTCCAGGGCCCCTTGGTTTCACATAGCTCGGGCTTTTCGCGAGTGGAAA